ACAACAGATATATATAACAACTATATCCCACATTCACAGACAAGCATATAAGCTGTATCTACACTTCACAAAGATAAGCATATGAGCTCTGTCTTCACTTCTCTAGACAAGCATATGAGCTGTATCCACGGAGTTCATCCCCTATCTCCTCCCAACGCTATCCGGTTTAGAGGGACATCCCCCATCTTCCCCTAAACCGCGGAGTACATCCCCCATCTCCTCCTCTACACATAACGTATACAAACACATTGGTTCTATATACAATCACCCAATACATACAGTTAATGTATTCTATCAACCGTCAAATTCCATGACACATTCTATTGATTAGTTTTCGTTTGCCTAATCATCATGCATTGTCTACAACAATCACGACTATCCTCCACCGATAGCCCAAAGCAGTTATCTCTAAACAGAAAATAAATGCACAATGGATATTCAAGCAACATTTCATTTCGGTGAGTGATAATTAATTCAACTACACCCTTTAACCCCATACATTCCCAATCTCAACAATTTCATTTCATAACCTCATTTCTCACGATTAAGTAACCCAATTAATCACACAATGTAATTAGGGCATTTCCCATAATTAACATTACAACCCTTAAGGTCCCATTTTCATCAATGATTCAACATTTATTCCATTTCTCTATGCCAAACATGCATCTAGGTTTATTATAAATAAAACCCCAACTTTTGTAAAATAACACAAAAGCCCCAAACTTTCACAAAATTACCAAACCAACCCCAACATCTCAAAATGTCAAAATTTAAAGACAAAATCCATAGAGAGGAGTAGGATATCCCTACCTCAAATCTGGAGTCCCAAGAGAGAAGATGACAAAACCCAAAGTGCTCCAAAACCCGAAATTTTCAGATTAAAATGTAGCCCTCGACGATCAACAACTTTTTTGTAAAGGCCAAAGATGAGCAAATCACTCCTACTAGATCAAAACCTAGAGAGAAGGTAGAGTTCTAGAGTGAGAGGCTCAACAATGGTGTTTTTGGAAAAGTAGGAGAGAGAAGAGAAAGTGAAAAAGTGATTTGAAAAGTCAAAACTCGGAACTTAAACCCAGTCGCACCGCTCGAGCGTCAAACACCCCGCTCGAGCGTCACTCACAGACTGCCGCTCGAGCGTCAACCATCCCGCTCGAGCGGCGGATGCACACTCCCAGAACTTTTACAGAACCAGGTCTCCGCTCGAGCTTCCAACTACCCGCTCGAGCGACACTCACACAACCCCGCTCGAGCGGCCAAATCCCACGCTCGAGCGTCCAACGCTGCACAGGAAATACTGGATGGGTGCAATTCCCGCTCGAGCGGCAAAACCCCCGCTCGAGCGGCAAAACCCCCGCTCGAGCGGACAGGTCAAAATCTGGGCAACTAGTTTTGGTTTCTAAACTCAACCAACCTGTAACAAACCCGCTCAACACATCCTATAACTCAAATACAAAGTAAGAAAGGATGTAAACAAGATAATAATCAACTACCAACATCTACGGACACATGTCCGGATCACTATACAACAAGGGTAAATCCGGGATCGCTATAGAGTTCAAGGATTAAAAAGTCTTGCCACATGCCGGTCAGTCTTCCTCTTTTGCGGATTATGAACTCCAATGCACAAAAAAAAGAAAAGAAAAAAAAGGCATACCTCTATTTAAAGGGATAATGATATGCTAAGTTTGTTACCTCAGTGAGCCTTGGCCTCATAAAATCATCATTTTTGTATGATTACATGAGTCAATATTTATGTTTGGTTTTTGTTTAGAAATAATTAATAAAAAAATAATAATAACAAATGATATTGTCTCATGTACTTAATGATATAAAACCGTAAAAAAAGAAAAGAAAAGATATATAGCAGTACCAGCACAGCATCCCGAGAGTGAAGAATGGAATGGTTTAGGTAGTTAGATTTACTATACATAAAAATGCATCCCGAGAGTGAAGAATGGGATTGTTTAAGTGGGATATATGTAGAGATGGGTAGAGTTACTATACTAAAGGTTGAATTTCTCTTAAGTTTCAAATATGAATTTGAGAGAACTTGAGGAGCCAATGAGACCCATCACCAGCTATGTTTTGATAATCCGAACTATTCATTTTATAAGGCTCTTCAAGCATATCACTTATAAAAAAAATTAAATATGTTTGATAATCATAATATTTTTTTTTTCATATTATTGGGTTTGTCTCTAAAAGAAATGAATAATTTATTTTTAAAAATATACTCGGTGAAAAACAAGGAGCAGAATGTGATTTCTGTTTTTCAACACATATTGAAGATTTATATTTTTTGCAAATTAGACGCACTTCATGATTACTATTATTGCCATTTGCTTAGAAAAGAACTTCAATAAGCATAAAGATGATACAGTCTGAACCGTAGCTATTTTTTTCGTTTTTTTTTTTTTTTTTTTTGGAGTTTTTTTTTTTTTTTATGGATAAAGGTACCTTTTGGGGTATTGTTTGTGTAGATTGTTTATTAAAATAAATGTTTTTCATGTTTAAAAACAAAAATGATACAATCAATGTGTTTGGTTTTAGTTTTCTAAATTCAATTTTTTGAAAATTGAGTATTTTGTTTTTCGTATTTTTTATTTTTAGTGAATATTTTTAAAATTTTAAGCATTTTTTTGCTTTTTTTAGATGCATCTTATTTAGATGGATCTAAAAAGTAAAATATTTGTGAAAAAATATTTTAAAAAGTTAAATGCACAAAAATACAAAAAATATATTGAATTTTCGTTTTTTTTTTTTTTGTAGTTTTGGTATTTAGTGAATTTTTAAAAAAAAAAAATTTACAAAAATTATATTTTTAAGTGTATTTATGATAGGTGTGTCTAAAAATTAAAAACAAAATGGCTTAAAATATTAAAAAAAATCAGTAAAAACAAAAAAGAAAAATGCCAAGTAGAATTTTTTGAAACACATCTTCCAAATAAGCCTCAACTAAAACAAAAACAAACAGCCTATGGTGAAACCTTAGGTGAATCTAACACTAAAGTTTCTTCCTTGCCCATGGTCTGTCTGTTTATTGCCTGACTTGTCCATGGAGTTGAAAGTCGGGAGAGAAATAGGATTTTATTATCGGAGGGGTCAAAAGAAAAATAATTTTTTTTTTACCATATACACAAAATACGCATGTATATATAATATGATATATGATGATACAGTTTGTGATGGTAGAACGGGTTGGACTGATCCACGCTCCTTAAGCCTATGTCCGAATGACCAAGTCCACCTGAAGACCTGCACAAGAGTTCAACGGGGAACGGGGAGTCCCCCAGCGAACCCTCCAACGAGTAAGTTAGAGAGAGAAGTGAAGTGTAGAGATGGAATACAGATAGAAAAAGCTTAGCCTTCTACATGTCTTCGACGTCTGCTTATATCCTTTGGTAATCATTAGGTTGTCTCTTCCGACCTGTTACCTTGGCCAAACGTCTATGCTATAGCTTACCTTGTTCAGGGTGAGGGCGTGTTGTCCCGACAGAGAGGGGTTATCGCAATAAATGCTGTAAGAGGGCCTGCCTCATTAATGGCGATGTGCAGTGGCAATAACTTTGTATATCTTTGTCTGCTGATATGGCTTGTCCTTTTCTTGCCATGTGTCTTGATGTCATTGATTCTAATTGCTACATGGGGTTTCGGCAGTGCTGGGCTTCAGCATTTGAGATATGTGACTACTGTGACCTGCTAATCTACGCTCGAGCTCAAGAGTCTCCGCTCGAGCGGACAGTACAAAAACAGAAAAACATAGTTTTGAATCAACACAAGATTTTGTCTCCGGATTTGACAACACAGGGACCTAACAAATACTATAGAAGCAATTTCTATTAAGATGAAGAAATTTTTTTGGTGTAAAATAGAAAGAGAATTTAAGATGGAAGAAGAATGATATATATATATATATATAATTTTTGATATATATATATATATTTAAGTTTTATGGGAAATAATAATTTTCACAAAAACATGGGGCCATGGCCCCTATAATCTCCTCCTAGTTCCGTCCCTAGTTGAAAGGAAGCTATAGTTCCACTACTGTTGTAAATGTTGGAACAATTCATCTTGAATTTTTCAGTTGGTGGTATTTGAGTCTTTTCTCTCTTTCCGATGTGAGTCAAAGTCCCAAGCTTATTTCAAGCTTTCCAAATAAAAATAAGGAAGGTTTTGAAAACATCCAAAAACTAAACAATAAATCACTACAAGAAATTGCACTTTTGGCAACTACTTTTGGCGACGACGTCAATTTTTCATAGCCAAAAGTATATTTTTGGCGACACAGTGATGAATTTCGTTAGTAAAAGTGGACCTTTACCGACGCAATTTAGTATCGTCACTAAAAAAGCATAACATTATTTAAGCGCCAAAATTATTTGTTGGCGCCAAACTTTCAAAAGTTTTAGCTACGAGGCTTATTTTTTACCAACACAATGAGCGTTGCTATTAGTGTGCTTACTTTTGGCAACGACAAGTTGGCGTGGGCAAAGAGTTAAACATTTAGCGACGACAACACTATTCATCGGTAAAAGTTTTACTAGTGAAATATGTGATTTATTGATTTTTGTTTTTATTATAACTCTTAAAAGAGTTTTAAATATTCTAGTTATTGAATTGTAAAATCAAAGTGATCATTGAATTAGATCACAAAATGAACCCATCAAGGTCAAACATACTCTTAAGTTGATATGGCTAATTTGAGTTAATTTAAACTTTTCTAAAGAATGTGGTTAGATTATCAATTTCAATATGTTTGATTTTACTTTCAGATTCTTTTCATTGTGGTTTTGTGTTTGGTTTTATTTTCATAAACTAGTTTAATTTTTTTTTCCTAAAAAACTATAAAAAATAAAAAATAAAAAAATTTGGGTGAAAAGATAAAAATATACTTATTATTTTTATATAATTTTATCTTTTAGGTCATACACCACAATAAATTTGATTTTTTACGAAATCACATCGATGACCTACAAGACACTGATAGTGGGTTCTAATCATAAGTAACATAGAAGAAACAGAGGGAGAAGAAAGACAGTGAATTGGTTGGAAGGGGTAAGAGTTCTTCAAACCCTTGTTCTTCAAAGTTCTACTATCAATTGAATCGGTGGAGATTGAGAGGCAAACACGGTAGTCGCGAAGCCCTTTGGAGGTTCTTCAAAGCCATACGTTGTGTCGACCTACACAAAACAGAGAGAGGATCTTGCTGTGAGAGGCAAATAGTACACTTATCTTTTCGGTGGCAAGACTAATTCGATGGCAAGGCACTCATCTCATCTCTCTTCTCTTCCTTGTTCCTAAAACCCTTGTTTCGGCTCTCTCTCGCTCTCGTATTCGGTGTAGTTGGCGATGTGATTGGAGCGGCTGTGGGTAATTTCACTCTACCTAAAACCCTAATCCAACAAAGAAAGAGAAAAGAATTTGAAGAACAATCAGAAAATTTGAAGGTATTCCTCTCTCAATTGATTATTTTTGAAACCCTCCCTCTCCTGAAACCCTATTTTCTCTCTCTGAAATCGTCCTTCCTGTAAAATCTTCTTCTCTCTGATTTTTTCCCTCTTTTCTCTATGTAGGGTTCTCTCAGAATTCTGATTCCAATCTTTCTTGGCTCTTACAGATTTGGTATTTTTACCTTTGAAATGAGGCTTGCTAAAATTTTTTTTATTTTGTTTTTTTATATATTTCAGTTGACAAGTAATGAAATAATCGACGAATATTCTCAGGCATTGGGCTTTTTACATTGATTAGTGCAGAATTTTGGAGCCATACTTTTGCTTCTAGGGTGTAAAAAATGTCATATTGTTTTGGCATCAGATTTATAGATCTAATTATGTTTTGGAGCCATACTTTTGCTTCTAGGGTGTAAAAAATGTCATATTGTTTTGGCATTAGATTTATAGATCTTATTATGTTCTTTGAATTTTGATGATGTTTGTAAAAATGCATTAAATTGTTAGCAATTTAAACAAAAGTATTTTGGAACTATATTTTCATTGTGAAAACTCGTGATTGATTTAATTCATTCACGCCTCTGTTTGTTTCTGATGAAAATAGTAACAGAAACAAAAAACCAAAATTCGAAATTTTTTTCAGTCTTCATCCTGTCATGATAATGCAATTATTTTGGTTGAATTAAGGCGAAAGCTATTCTTGTATTACATTTTCATTTCGTTACAAATGTATTGTCGTTAATTTTTTTTTCTTGTTGCTGTGAACTTGAATGAATTTGAATTCAATTCTAAATGGCGACACTGAATTTTGTTTTGTTTTGTGATCTGTGTTGGTTGAGAAAAAATAAACATATCTGAAAAATGTTACACAGCACTCTGATTGTGGATTTTTGAGCTTTCCCATTAGGTTGAAGTAATGATGGTTGATTATGTGTGTTCTCTCTTACTTACTCTCATGGAATTCAATGTGCCATCTGTACTTTGGGAATGGTAGTTGCTCTTGGTCATTTTTAGCATGCAAATGGAGTTAAACTCTTTGTTCTTGATGCTCCTTATCTCATATAATTTTTGGATTTCATTGGAACCTATCATATGGTATAAAACGTAGTTACAATTCCTGTAAAAGTATAAAAGTTGGTTCCAAAATAGTATCTTTATGCCATGTAGAATTGTAGTGGCAGTAATTGTGAGAGGGGTTGAAGGTTTCATATCTCGTTGACTGTTATGGTTATCTTAGTGTTTCATTATCACTACAAGAAAAATAGGATATTACCACATTTTTTTTCTTGGCGTTTTTTAAAAATGTTATGAAATTTTTTATGATTTTTCACCTTCTCAGCCAATTTAATTAATTTTATCTCATTTTGTACGCCGTTATTAGAAAACTGTGAAATAACATTTATTTGTGATTGAAAAGGCAGGTTTCTAATCAAAAGAAGAGAACAGAGGCGTGACTTTTGTGAGAGAGAGAGAAAGAGAGAGAGGGGCAAAGAAAGAAATCAGGGCCTTGGTTCTTAGATCCCCATCTATTCTTTCGTTGTATGATCTGGAAATTCTTGTTCTGTACTTGATTTGAGTGTATCTCTGTAATATCGTTTGAATCCCTCTTATCTAAGTTGATCTAGGGCTCAAGGTTAGAGTTTTCTAATATGGATTTGCTACATTCACATAAGATCTGTAAACTTTCATGGCTTAAACTAACGATTTACAGTTGATTTCTAGTTTCTTTTCTTCTATTTTGTATTTTCTATTTCCAAATCGATTTATCTAGGGTTTTGAGTGTCGTGTTAATATCTCTGATCAAGTACAGGATAAGCAAGCAGCGTTGGATCTAGATCGTTAGCAACAGTGAGTAGAAGCAAGCTCAACGATGTAGAGATGTAGATCTTATTCTCAGATATGTTCTCTATCCGATCAGATCGGCTCTCTCTGTCTCTCCGATCTGCTATTATGGTAATATCAAATCTGCTCTCTCAATCTCTCCGATCGAATTTCATGTATTCTCTTCATTGCTCTATGAGATTTGGACCTTTGTCTCTGGTTTTTGATTGAATCTCATTATCTTTGTCACTCTATCACATTTTCCTTATAGAAAATGTCAAAACAGTTTCTAAAATTGGTTCTGGTGACTAGTTCGTTGGTGCTCTCCTATGCATATTGATGATGACCGATTTGTAGTTGAGGGTAGTATTTCCTGATGAGTAGTTCGTTGATTGATTTTTATCCTGCTGGCATAAATTTTTTTATTGATTTTTTTTGTTGGAATAGCTTGTTAATATTGTGATTCTTATTGTGCCATTTTCCTTGCATGTCAAATGTTCGATAAAATGTGTCAATAGAAAACTTTTGTTATTTTTATTTTACCTTTTAATTTTTAGCTAAACACCAAAAAATAAAAATGATGATGGAACTCTTACTGTAAAATAAACTTTTATCAATGTAGTATTTTCTGCCAATCTGAAAGGGGTGTATTATCTCTGTCTCTACCATGGGATCTTCCAAGCAATCTATTGGAAAAACCAAGCTAACCTGACCAGACCCTTTGGTTCTCAGGTTTTCTAGGTATTTTGTGCACCCTTAATGATAATAATGTGAAAAAACAGTTGGAAACTACAACTTCTGATCTACTATTAGAACATAATAAGTTTTTGTTGGAAATATATGTTTTACATTAATCTTTGACTTGCATTGGATTATCCTTCAATAGCTTTGAGCCAATCAAATGGAAAAGGTAGAGGATCTGTGTTGTGCTTGTGTAGTTGAATATCATAATCATAATGAATCAATTTATATATGTTGTGTGTTGTCAATAAACTGAAGCTGTTGAATTGGCAATATAAGCTGAGTAAGGTTATTGTTCACAAAGGTCTTAATCTTGAGACTAATCAAATTGTAGCAATAAAGAGACTTCATACTTTTTTTTTACTGCAAAAATGGTGTCCCATATACAACAATCCTAGGAATCGTTATGCTAACAGAGATGGATCACATAAACATTGTCAAGTAAGTTATTTCTTTGGAGTTCTGATTAAAAAAAAACCCATTAAAAATCTAATCAATGTCTTTGTTTTTTACTTTATATATTTGATTATATACTTTCTTAACAGAAGCTAGGTTAACAGGTTGCTGGATGTATTAAGCAATATCAAAAACGAAGTATATCATTTTTGAATATTTGGACCTTCATTTGGAGAAATACATGGTGACTTATCCAGCTTGATTGTCACAATTCAAACATTTTTTTCCGGAGTGTCCAAAAACTCAATTATCATATTTGTAATTTCTCTAGAATGGAGGTGCTGATATTACTTTGCTTCTGTAAGGCAGGAGCATACAGTGATCGAGTCAAAGCCTAATCATTTTCTAGATGATCTCCGGCTAAATAGCTCATGGCCTGAGCTGAGAAGGTATGGGTCTTAACTCCCCCCCTCTCTCTCTCTCTGGGTTTGGCTTTTCTGTTTGTGTTTTATTTTGGCACATCAGTTACTGAACTGTAAAAGCTAATGGATTTTATTTTTCACCATGTACCTAAGCAGCTTACATCTTAAGTGAGAAGCTAATTGCATGTTTATCAATGATAGCTTTGCAGAAACAATTGACTTGAATGTGGCTAATTCCGTTGTCCATAAACACACACCATATGTTATCATTCTTTTGAAGGTGGCAGATGAGTGGCCCAAAACTCATGGTGGAAGCCTTCCATCAACCAGGGAAGAGAAAAAGGAGTTCAAGGTTTGCACATTTAGTCCCTCATTTCATCTTATCATTTTTGTTCTATTGTTGTATACTACGGTGGCTTGATTGGGACGTTGAACATCTTAGGAACTAGTGAGAGCCAGGATGAGAGCAATGGATGAAGACAACTACAAAGAAGCGGTTAAGGTGTCATTTAAAGTATTTGCTCCTCGGGGTATTAGTAAGTACTTGATTTTAATGCATGTTACCCTTGTTTATCTGCATGAGCATGTAATCTGCCAATCAATGGCTCTCAATTAGGACTGACCTCAAGCCCAGTGTGGGCCTTTGATCTGATCACTGAATTTGCTGTCGTTATGATGGCCCATGCCATTGAGGTTAAAAAAAAAAAAACTAGAGAAACTAATATCAATCTTGCCTAACACAAAAGAAAACTCTAAACTTCAAATGGTTTTACTTGGGAAGTTTTCTTGTTCCACACAAGGGCAAAGAAATTAATTAAAGATTAGGATCTAAACATCTAACATCTTCAGAATTCAGCTATAGAATGGTGTTTCAGTCAATCATCATGTCGACAAGGGAAAATTGAGAGTGACTTTCGAAGCAACTTTAGTTATTGCATGTATTCTAATGGCCTAGTGTAGCTTTGAGTTTTTATTTATGAATTATGAAACTTGTGAATGGGACAAGGGTATCCATCTTCATCTTTGATGGATTGCAGAACATAGAGATTGATTAAAGCTATAAATGTGACGCTAACAGAAGCTAGGACTTGTCCTTCTCATGGATGGTTAGTTTGCCAACCAAGTGGATTGACCTTGGCCTCCCTCCTTGCAATAATATATATTTTGCTTAGTATTTTGGATAAATCATTGTTAAGGACTAAATCTTTAGACTTTTGGGTCCTATTGATTGTCAAACATATGTCACGTTTGAATCAAGATTGAATTCTGAAATTGCTTAAAGGATTTCCTATGACCTATGTTTTTGGTTGAAAAGAAGTGAAAAGGAAAGGGGAATTTATATCCTGTTTTTTTCTTTCTTATGTTTGTTTGGTTATGGTATATTGAGTTATTAAAGAGTTTTGGGTCTTTATATCTCAACCTTGTCATTATGTCCCACTGTTGCTGTATGAGTAATTCATTAAATAATGTTGTCAATGTAAACTTTAAAACTAAGTGCCTTCCCTTTGAAAGTGATTGCTTACAGTATCAGGTCATTGGTTCTCTCACCAGATCGTCACATAACTGAAAACCGATCAAGGGTTATCTATAGGAGCAAAAAACTCAAAGTTGTAATTGAAAGAAGCAAAGAATGATACTATTTCAGAAAAATAAATAAATAATAAAACCAACTCAACAAGAATTTATCCCTATTACTTGAGTTTGACCATGTGGATCAATTTCCTTCAGTTAATTAACTTGGTTCTGTTTGAAGTCATTTCATCTGAGTTAAGTTTAGATTAATCATATCTTCATCTCATAACCTCATTGCCTATATTTTTTTTTAGCAACATCAATGTGGATTAAATCACTCCTCCTTATAGATGCATTAACTATTTATGTTTCACATTTCCATACCATCTCAAATACTCAAACAGATTTCATCATAATAACCCTAAGATCGGATCTACCCGTGACCGGCTGAAGGAAACTCATGAATGTAATTTAGAGGGAAAAAAGGCAAATGGACTTTGTTTTAAACTTGTCATTGATCAATACAGACTGCTTCCAGATCCTCCTTTTTGCTGGTGGCTAATGGCTGTTGTTTGTTGGTCTGCTGCAGCTGCTGGTCTGCTGCTGTTGGTTTGTTGTTGCTGCCGCCCTCATGGTTGATGCTTGCTGGGCTGTTGCTGCAACAATGTTGCTGTGAGGCGGCTGCTACTAGATGTTGGTCTGCTAGATAAGTTTGTAAGTGATTTTCGTGCCGTTTTGCCTGTCTTTGTTAGTTTCATGTTTTCATTTTGTTATCTATTGTTTCTAATATGGGTTCACAATTTGGATGTATTTGGGTATTTTAGTGAGTTTACCCTTTTAGGTTTTACACACTGCATCTAAAAGCAGTATCAACAATGTTTTTTTTGCTTGCACATCAACTTTAGGTGATTTCATATCAATGTTATTAGTTTGTAATAGTGGTGCCTGAGGGATGCCTCTTGTAAATCTGTAAATCTTATAAAAATATATAAATTATTTTCAATTATTTTTGTTGGTAAATGTGTTGCCAAAAGTTTATTTTTGCCTACTCATATTGTGTTGCTAGAAGTGTATTTTTTGCCAATGCCAACTTGTCGTTGCCAAAAGTAAACCTTTATCGACAAACAAATCGTCGGCAAATGGCAATATTTACAGACGTAAATGTGTTGCTAAAAGTTTACTTTTGCCTACTCATATTGTGTTGCTAAAAGTGTATTTTTTGTCTATGCTAATTTGTCGTTGCCAAAAGTGAAGCTTTATCGACAAACAAATCGTAGCCAAATGGCAACATTTACCGACGTAAATGTGTTGCCAAAAGTTTACTTTTGCCAACGCATATGTTATTGCTAAAAGTATATTTTTTGCCCATGCAAATTTGTGTCGCGAAAAGTGCCACACAATCATCATATTTGAATGACTTTTACCAATGCAAGGTAAATTGCCGACGATGGATGAAGGCTTTTATCGACGACTATATTCGTCGCTAAAGGCATTACTTTTACCAACGTAATGATAATTTTGTCAGCAAAAACTTTTGCCGACTCACTTTTGCCTACGGGTTGCCAACGTAGCTTTGTGTGTCGGCAAAACTCTTTGCCAACGAATTTTCCCTTTTAGCAACATAGTTTGTTGCGTTGTGAAAAATGCAATTTCTTGTAGTGAATTTTGAAAATTTCCCAACAGTAAATGAGCTATATAGTTCCACCAGCTGTGGAGAAGAGAAAAATCTACAACTCAAGCAGTGAAAGCTTTTCAGATAGATGTGTTGGTTGACTTGGGGGAGTTCCAAGAATTTGATGGGTAGAATGGTGATGGCGGTGTCTGATGTTTGTAGAAGATTCAGGTGTAATTGTTGGTTTTTTGGTTTTCGAAAGTTAGTATTATAATTTTAAGTGTACCAATAATGATCAATGAGTCCTTACAGAAGATTAATTGCTAACTAATTATCAGACGATTGTGTTTTAGTTCTTTCAGCCTCAATAAAAATGACTTTTACTGGTGGCTTGTTTAGGAGAATTTAGTAAACAACAATTAAGTGAAGAATAATTGTAGTATTTCATTAAGTAAAAATGAAAAACTTACAATGATCTGACCCAGCCTCGTAGAGGTTTACAACAACAAACTATTTGAAACTACTCCTATGAATGAAGTGCAATACAGAAATTTGAAGTACAGAAATGTAAAGGACTATAAAAACTAGAAGGAAAATAAAGTAGATAAAACTAGTTTTTTGATCTGTGTCTGGATCCTCCTTTCTGAGGCCTTCTCTGCGATTTATGCTTTTCAATGATAACCGTCGAAGTGGACTTCTAACCGTCGAAATGTCCATCCATGATCGCTGATCATGCTTTCTCACAGTCAGCCCCATTACGCCATGTTTGCAGTTAAGTTTCCCTCCTAATTTTGAATTTGAACCTTGTGAATAACCGTTAGGCCACATCACCTTATATCCTTTGATTATTCCAGTGCTACGCAGACCCATTATTACCAGTATGGGTTGACACATTTCTAACTATGGTTGGCAACTTATATTACCTCCCTAAATTGCCCTTTTCATGCCACGCGCCAATTTGCAATTGGCTTATACAAATTATACAGCCAACAGTAATCTTGCAATCTCAATAAATATATGCACATATATATTGCATCTGTGTGTGTTCTACCTTCTGAAACAACACGTATGTTTTTTTCATTCTTGTTCTAGTGTATGTTCCTCCTTGTTTTCTTCCTCCTTGTGAAATTTTTGTCCATCACGTGTTCAATTATATGCTCAAATGTGAAATTCATCAGAATTTCACTTTCTGATGGCTCTATGCTTTTTCTGCTTTCTTTTTTGTTTTGGTTAATAGATGTGTTAGTTTTGATTGTATCAAGATATTTGTGAAATCGTTGCATTATAAGAGCTACTTATATAAGACTTATTATTTATCTGTTTCAATTTGAGCAACACCAAGCCATATATTTGTTTGTATTTGTTTGAGAGAGAGAAAAAAAAAATTTGGGTTCTAACTTGAGCTGGGTTTTGAAAAGTATATTAAACCCATACACATCCAATTTCTAACCTCACTAAAACAAAGATAAAGTGTGTTTGGTTTCAATTTTCCAAATTCATTTTTTTTTAAATTGAGTTTTTTTATTTTTAGTATTTTTTTGTTTTTAGTGAATATTTTTAAAATTGCAAACATTTTTTTTTAAAACTTTTTTAGATACACCTTACTTAGATGTATCTAAAAAATAAAATATTTTTAAAAATTAATAAATACACAAAAATATGAAAAATATACTGAATTTTCATTTTTTTGTATTTTTGATATTTAGTGAATTTTGTAAAGATTTTTTTTCACAAAAATTATACTTTCTAAGTGTATTTATGTTTGGCGTGTCTAAAAAAAATTAAAAAAATTGCTTAAAATATTTTAAAAATTCAGCAAAAACAAAAAAAAAATACGACAAACAAGAAAGTAAAATTTTCTAAAAAGTGTTTTCTAAAAACAAACATGCCGAATAATTCTCAAGTTATGAAATTTTCATAGCTGAAAAGATAGTTTCATTTTTCCAAAATCCACATCCAGCAAGTTTACTGAATCCAGACATAACTTGAATCTAGCAGCCCCCGCCTCACAGTTAACTTTGAAAAAAATAGCATTCGGGTTCGATTCAACCGGTTGACAGATCTAATAGGAGAGAGACTATCAACATATCAATCACCAGTTATATAAAAAGCTGAAAATATTAGTAAATGAGCTAAAGAATGTGTATGAAGTTATTAAATAATTAGCCCAATAATGTATATCAAGCTAAGAATTGAAAACAATTGAATTTGAAATGCAAAAGCAATAAAATAAACAATATAGAGCCCAATACCTCTTGAATCATAACTAAGATACATCAAATATCACCAATTTTCTCAAAAGATTAGGCAGATTAAGTTATTAGGAAATTAGCCCAAAATAATTGAATTTCAAATGCAAAATCTATGAAGATAAGCTCGAAATTGAGATGATATCTGCATAAACTAATGTATATATATGATTGTTGGAATAGTACCCTAGGATGCAAAGCTTTGCAACCTCTACAAACAGGGGAATAAAAGTCAACTACAACCAAACTATCACCAGCACTCAACAATGCTTGACCGTCGAGCATAGCTGCATAGTGATGGTTCCTTTTACTAAAAGCCAGTATTTTTATATATCTTGAAACTAGTAGTAGTAAGCACCATCATTGTAAACACTATAAAAATAAAAATAAATAAAAGTAAATCTAAAATAATAGATACTTCTCACCCACTTGTATGATGCATCTGTGGAGTAACAAAAAAATTTACAATATGTACTAGTAAACACATTGTTAGCCTCAAATTTTGTGTCCTTTTCATTTTGATTCTTTATATTTTAATTGTGTAAATTTGATTTTTAAATTATTTAATTTGTGTTTAAATGGTACTTATAAGCATTTTTAATTGTGTAAATTTGATTTTTAAATTATTTAATTTGTGTTTAAATGGTTACTTATAAGCATTGTTTTGTCTAAGGTGGTGTTTGGAGAGTGGCTAAAATACTTTTTTAAAAAAAAACACTAAAAATTCCAATTCCCAAACTCTCCCTAAATTTTGAACAAAAAAATAAAAAATTGAACAAAAGCCATGTTGAAACAATTTAAATACAAATTTAACATATAATCGAAATATCAAAAATAAAAATGAAACAAAACTCATATTTTATAGATTAACGTCCATTATATTTGTTGGCTACATATTTTGTATAAGCCAATCACAGTTCGACACGTGGCAAGATGAGGGCAATACGAGAAGACAATTTAAATCTTCAATCGTAATCACACACGTGGTAGTTAGTTTTGGTTATTGTGGATCTGCATAACACTGGATCAACAAAGAGATGCAAAATGGCGTGGTTTCAACAGTTACTCATATTTAAATTCAAAATCAGGAGGGAACCCTAACTGCAAATAAGGCATAGTGGAGCTAACTGTAAGGTAACATGATCAGCGATCATGGAGGGATGGTTCGACGATTAGAAATGCATTTCGACGGTTTCCATTGAGAAGTATAAATAGCAGAGAAGGCCCCAGAAAGGACCCCTAGACTCAGATTCAAAAACCAGTTTTATTCTACTTTATTTTCCTTCCAATTTTTATAATTTCTTGTTCTTTACATTTCTGTACTTCAAATTTCTGCACTGCATTTCGTTCATAGGAGTAGTTTTCAAGTAGCTTATTGTTGTAAACCTCTACGAGGCTGAATTGGATCATTGTAAGTCTTTCATTTTTACTTAATGAAATGCTACAATTGTTCTTCATTCGATCGTTGTTTGCTTAATTTTCTTAAACAAAGCCACCAGTAAAAGTCCTCTTCATTGAGGCTGAAAGAACTAAAACACAATCGTCTGATAATTGGTTGGCAATTAATTTTCTGTAAGGACTGATTGATCCTTGCTGGCATGCTCACAATTACTATAATAACCTTCGAAAGCCAATAAGCCAACATATATTTTTGGCATGCCCGGTGGGACTAATTGAAATGGCTAGACGTAGGAGACAAGGAGAAAATGAACACTTAGAAAAAGGCGTGGAAGGAGAGGTAGAAATACCTAATCCAGAGGATAATGTGATAACACATCATGTAGAAGTACCTGTTCTATCAGAACCTATGGTTGAACAAACCAGCACTTCGGAGCAAGTACCATATGTTCAAAAGATTGGACGAGGCCAAGGAATTGGACCATCCACTGTTCCATTTACTCAGCCAATGAATCCATGGGGTGGTCTAGTAGATGCCATGGGACAGCAGTTAATGAACACAATGGAAAGATAGGCAACATCCTTTTTGGATCAAATGAATACTCATCAACCAACTAACACAAGGCACATAGAGGAAACTTCAAATGTCCCTCAGCAAAGATTGGCTAGAGATAAACAGCCTATACAGAGTAATGGACATACTAATGGTCAGACTAATAACCAAAACTGTGAGAGACCATCACCTCAGTCTTAGTATGAGC